CCTGCCACAACCCCCGGCTATTTTTTTGTTGCAGTTTGGCCCGGGCCAGTTTGAACCCGCCACCTTCGGTATATGGAATTGGCGCCCTACTCACTGAGGCACAGGCACTGCCTTTTTTTTTGAGACATTCTCACTTTATTGCCCTGGGTTGAGTGCCATGGCATCATAGCACAACAACCTCAAACTCTTGGGCTTGAGCAATCCTCTTGCCTTAGCCTCCCCAGTAGCTAGAACTACAAGCATGTGCCACCATGCCCAGCTAATTTTCTATTTTTAGTAGAAACAGGGTCTCACTCTTGCTCAAGCTGGTCTCCCACTTCTGAGCACAGGAGATCCACCCAAGCCATAGGTGGGAGCAGAGTGCTAGGATTACAGGCGTAAACCACCATGCCTGGTCTACCACTGTAATTTTGTATATAGGTCATTCTCTCTACTTAGAAACACCTGCCGACCTCCCCTTGACCTAATTCGAAACAGTACTTTAAAATGAATGGAACACCCTCTCCTCCTGGCAGGGTAGTGACGTGCTTCTAAAGTGGTCCCACCACCCCAAAGTGTCTGCATTTGGCCACTTCCATAATCCTAGCGCTGGGAGCTCACTGCGGGTAAAGAACGACAGGACTTAAAAATTTGGACTAACATTTACCAATACCAGCACCGGTGAGGAACACAGCACCCGGCACCATCCACACCACTCCCAGTAAACAAGACTCCGTAGAGAAGAGTAAAGGAGAGCAGTGGCCCGGCCCTGCCCTACCCTGGGTAGTTCCACGCAGAAGAACATAGATGTGCTCTGGTTTCTCTTCAGATCAAATAAATCTTGTGCCTTTTACTAAAGATTTCCATGGAGAGGAATGGTCACGAGTCTTATTATTTTTTGAGGCCTTGGTATTCTTTTCTTTTCTTTTTTTTTAGAGTGTCTAACTTTGTCACCCTTGGTAGAGTGCTGTCACATCACAGCTCGCAGCAACCTCCGTATCTTGGGCTTAGGAGATTCTCTTGCTTCAGCCTCCCGGGTAGCTGGGACTACAGGCACCCACCACAACCCACGGCTATTTTTTTTGTTGCAGTTTGGCCGAGGCCGGGTTTGAACCCACCACCCTTGGTACATGTACTCACTGAGCCACAGGCACTGCCTGTTTTGTTTGTTTGTTTGTTTTGAGACAGTCTCATTTTGTTGCCCTCAGTAGAGTGCTGTAACATCACAGCTCACAGCAACCTCCAGCTCTTGGGCTGAGACTACAGGCACCCGCCACAACACCCAGCTATTTTTTGTTGTTGTTGTTGCAGTTTGGAGTCGGGTTTGAACCTGCTACCCTCAGTATATGGGGCCAGCGCCCTACTCACTGAGCCACAGGCACTGCCCAGGCCTTGGTTTTCTTAATGAGGCTTCCTTCAATGCTAGAATGTAAATGGTACTGTGTTCTGCAATACTCACCTAGTTTATGAGTTTTAGTGATAGTATAGTAATTAGTAATAGGTTTCTTTTTTCTGAGACAGAACCTCAAGCAGTCACCCTGGATAGAGTGCTGTGGCATCACAGCTCACAGTAACCTCCAACTCCTGGGCTAAAGCGATTCTCCTGCCTCCACCTCCCAAGTAG